ATACATATATATATTTATCTTGTATAAAAAAAAAACAAAAAAAAAAACAAGGGGAGCATAACATATCCAAAATGGAGCAAGACAGAATGTACACGGGAAAACAGGAATAATCCGTCCTGGTAAAATGAAAAGGTCAAATTAACCCTTTCATGCACAAAAAATGCTAACCTTTTTTTTTTTAGGCATGAAAGATAGATAATGGCAGTGGATGGCAACACACCCAAGGGTCCCTTATAGTGGGTGATACACAACTGTGACATTAAGATTAATCGATAGAAGAGAAAACGACATTTGAATAGCTGTCCGCTCTGCCCCTGAAAGGGTTCAACTAAAGTAACTCAACTCACTTGAATTACCCACCCACCCCCCTCTCCCGCATAATAATTTTCTGTATAAAATCTTTACAGTATGCATGCGTACCCATGACTTTCTCATTAGGACTGGGCAATAATTGTGTGTGTGTGGGGGGGGGGGGGGGGGGGGGGGCAAAACAAGAGTTAGACTGGTTTTGATTGGTATTTAAATCCCGATTATTCACCACAATAACTTGTGTTCAGCTGTCTCGGCTTCGCTGTATAAATCATGCACCCTGCAAACATGCGCGGCAGGAATACACACAGTACCTTGGGGGTAGCAACCTTCAAGTGTACTCCCAATTTGGGTGCAGCCATCATGAAAGAGTGCAGGACATTGTTCCCATCTCCAATCCAGCTCACTGTTAGTCCAGCCAGGGACCCATAATGCTCCTGCGGGTGGACATTGATGCTGAAGTTGAGCAGATGAATGTTATTCTGAAGAGAAGAGGTGATTTTTGCAAGGCACCTGCAAGGTCAGCAAGTCAGCCAGAATCTGGATTGGGTGGTCGAGGTCTGACAATCCGTTCACCACGGGAATGGAGCTCTCCTTATCCAGTTCCTCAAGTGTGGAGTGACTGGACACCCGAGCTAGGATGATGTCGCACAATCCTGATAGAACCCTATGGGGAGGAAGCGGTGACTAAAGGCTTGAACAGAAAGAAATGACATTGTCAACGGATGTGATGGGAAAGGCGAGCTAAATTTGAAAGACGTCCGTTATCTCGACACAACGTGCAGAATCGAATAAGAGCGGAGAAAATGATTAAGGTTCAATCACAAAAAAAGTTTTTTAATGCATGAGGAAAGCTACAAGTGTGTCACACAACGCATTCAAAATCAACTGAAAATGTTGCCATTTATGATCTAGTGTCAGAGAAATTTGGTGATATCAGGCGAGAAATCCAGATGCGATTCAAAATGAGGAAAAAAAAGAGAGAAAATTACAAAATAAAAACGGGCGGTCCGGTGGTCGACTGACTTTTGCCCGCTTCCTGCATCAACTTCCGGTGATGCAGGTCACGCGCCACCTGAGGTTAAAGGTGACATGCTGTGTTATATTATTTTATTTTTTAAATCCTTTTTTTTTGTGTGCGTGAAAGTGAAACTGATAGGATTCTTACAATGCATCATATTAATTACAGACACACAATTTTTTTTTCGGAAGGGGGTGGGTTGTTTTTTTTTTCCTCCTCTACACCCCTCGCGATCGACTTGGGTCCAGTCCGGGAGCTACCAGTCAATTGTGACCGACGTATTGGGCACCCCTGGTCTAAAGAATATATCTGGACCCAGAAAATTTAATTTGGCAAAACGCCTTATTTTTTTCAGCATACGAGAAGGACAAACCTCGCAGTGTCGGCGCAACTCTCGTTCACTCCCAGATGGATGTCTTGGGCTGTGAGGAAACAAGGATGTCCACCCAGCAAAGCAAAGCCTAAAATGATCATACATATTCAACAGGATGTTTTTATTTTGTTTTATTTTTTTCCTCTTTCGGTAGCGTTTGCGTTGCACTGCATCATAGTAAAATCAGTTTCGAATATTTTGGACCCTCTTTTGGAGCTCAGCGAAATAACTCTGCCCACAATTTAAACCGGGGAGTGCTGTGGTAAAACTTTAGCTTTTTCAGAATGTGCACACGTGCATCCCACTCAGCAGTACTTTTGTGTCCAGCAATGCTGAGCGGACTGTTGAAGGTGGCGTCACTGTGTGATTTGTTGTGTTTCAGTGGCACCAGTGTGTAAATGGTTGCTCGGTTGAGAGAAGACTTTTTTTTTTTTTTTAAAGCACATGTAACTATGTGAGGGCACCTGTTTCTGTGGACATTCTTGTTCTGGTGCTCCTCTTCTCAAATATCATTGCGATGGACTTCCCTTGCAGAAGGGGCAGATACTAAAAACGGAAAGCAGGGAATACAGCACGTGTTGCTTAAAACACCGCCATGTGCACGACATTGGAACAAAAAAAAAAAAAAAAAAGCAAGTGCATGTACCACCGACCTGTTTTTCATGCTTGAAGCGATGTTTTAAATCAGCAGACACCCATAAAAGCTTCTTGATTTCTTCTGCGGTGAAGTCTTTCCATGTCAGACAGCTGCGACCCTTCAAACTCACACTGCAATTCGCTGCGATGCCACTCCTGGAGAAAGGTAGGCAAAAAACAAAACAAAACAATGAATTGTGCTTATTATTTTGAACAATGATCATGAATTTACAAGCACGTAGAGTTCTTACCTAAATCCACGCAAAATTGTGTTTTTAAAAGTCTTCAAACGTCCAGAAATGGAACTTTTACAGGCAAAATATTTCAAAGACATTGCAAAACTATCAGATGCGGGAGTGGTGGTCAAGTAGATTGATTCGTGTGCTGGGAGAGAACACTTTGCTTGAAAAGGCGGTGTGGCTTCTTGATTTTTTTTTTTTTTTTTTTTTTGGCAGGGGCGTGGGAGGGGCGGTGGACCACCACCACCAACAAATAAAACATTACAACTTGACATGGATGTTCAATCATTCATTTAAAATACCAAATCTCAGTTTTTTTTTTTTTTTTTGCCACTATTTTCAAATCGTCTTCATTCCCCAAAATGAAGTGTGTGTGTGTGTGTGTGTGTGTGTGTGTGTGTGTGTGTGTGTGTGTGTGTGTGTGTGTGTGTGTATGGCTTGTACTCTCAATTCTACATTTCAAATTTTAAATTGTATTAATTTTTCATTGCTCAAATAAATAATCATTTGCCTATGAGCAGAGATGCCAAGGTCATTTTTGAAAATATCTCTTTGCATCTCTCTATCTATATCTCTATATCTATATCCTGGATCTCTCTCTCTCTCTCTCTCTCTCTCTCTATATATATATATATATATATATATATATATATATATATATATATTCAGATAATAAACAAAAAATGCAGCAAATAAGAGTATGCCAGTTGCTTTGATTCAGCCTGTGTGGATGACCATGACTTGGATGACTGAGGACAAACACAAAAACAAAAATAAAATTTTTAGCAAGCACTTCATTAGGTACACCCGCACTTCCCAAGAACTGTTTCAAAGAATTTATAATAATAATAATAATAATAATTATTGTTTTATGTTTTAAACCGGTTGAAATCAATGGTTTGCTCTAACGGGGCGCTCCATTTTACATCCAGAACGGGGCAGTGTTGTACCAAAAAGAAGAAAAAAAAAAAGCAGCCGGGACCGAATGTTGTCTGTGATGTCGTGTCTGCTGTTTTCCGGGGATGTTCTGTGCATCCATTTAAAGAGATTGATGTCAGCGTTCCACTAACACTCACCACTCCTCATTTTATCATCAGACCTCATGAAGGGAGCACTTAAGAAGTCTGCCAGAGCTGTTATTTTTTTTCATTGAGCCCACAGAGTCTTATGATAGGGGAACCTCTCAACCAAAACAAGCCTGAAATTGTACAACTGAAGAAAAAAAAAAACCTAACGTTAGGCAAGACTGTTTTACGTTTTGCAAAAAAAAAAAACTAATGTTAGGCAAGAATGTTTTACGTTTTATGGTGGCTAACTTCTTTTTACACTTGTATGACAATTAAGAACGTTGGAATGTTTCTTGAAACGGATGGTTCAGATTTGCTTGTTGCTCTTTTGTTTTGTTTTTGTTTTTGCTCACCACAGCAGTATTTCACTGTAACAGATCACAGTATACATTGAGTATTTGTTGTTCATCATTCGTGAAGTTACCTAAATATTCACAGATTTTTTTTTGGGGGCGGGGGGCTAACCTATTGGCCATCTTTCATTAAAAAACCCACCTGTTTTGTTTTTTGTTTTTTTTGCAGGGGGGGGGTAGTAGCATGGGGGCTGCTTGGGCCTAAACCACGTCAAATATAAAAATATTGCTTTGGGGCTAACTTGTAGACAAGGAATCTTGTTGAAGTGGGGGCAGGAGCTACCTTTTAGCCTTAGAGGAAAAAAAGTGCTTTGCCACCATTTTATGGCATCTGAGGGCAATTGACAACCTTTTGGGGTGGGTGTCAATTACCAATTTTTCCTATTAGTGGAGCCTCACTGCTGTATTTCAATTGCATAGTGTGACAAAATAGACTGCGTTCAACGTTGTAAGTTCCACTGTTTTAAAACAAAAAAAAAAACAAATAAACATTTTGTGTTTTTCAGTGCACCACATCATTTTATGTGGCCCGCGAAAGCAAATCAAGCATGTCAACTTCCATGATCCTTGCTAAAATTAGGACCGAAATGTCACATTTTGATGTAAAACAAATCATGTCAAGGTTCTGTAATAATCGTGTAACCCTGTTAACACTCACTCAAACAAAAATTGAACAAACTATCATAGTTAATTTGACTGATTTCAAAATTGATCATCTATAAATACAGTTGAGTTGAGTTGTACAAGTATTTACTTAAACTTCACCGTCGTACCGGCCCAACGAAGGAAGATGCAACCACAAAGCGGCCCTTGACAAAGAGGAGTTTGACACCCCTGGTCCAGATCTGTTCGCAAAATGTAGGTTACTATTCAACAATACATCTCCTTTCACATGTGCTAAAGGAGAACACATATACCAGAAAAAGAAGATCAGTGATCATACAGTGTCACAGAAAATGGGGACACGTAATCAGCGATATTCTAGCATGTCGACAGAAACACAGATGACCTTTTTACAATGTATGTCAATCGGTGTGGTCAGCAACACTTCAGAGTTACAATGTTTCCTTTTCATGCTTTCCGGCAATCTGATTTTTTTTTTTTAAGAGTTTCTCGCATATAATCAGACAAATTAGTTACTGTAATACAACCAAATAATATGATTTCATACATATATCTTTTTTTTTACAAATTATATACATGTAATATCGCAAATAATATAACCAGATTACCTGAGTATAATTTCATTAAATCTATGCATAGTTCCCAGGGCCTGCGTGTTTCATTCATGCATTTCTTCAACTGAATTTTAACCATAGAATTAATTCTCCCCACCAATCCTGCAGATTGGATGGCAGGAGCACTGGTATCTAAAAGCAAAATGAAGCATGCATTCAATCTCATCAATTACTCTGTTCAGACAATGCGTTCTCGATATCGATTAAAACAGGTTGTATAATGTTCCTGAACCAGAGACACCATTCCCCCTGCCAACGAGTGAGGTAATCCGTGAAGTCAAAAGAATTTGGGGCAAAATGGGTTCACTGTCAGTGCTGACATAAACCCCATCTTTATCTTTGTTCATTGATTGGAATTTGTTGCCGCAGATTAAATAGAATTCAATTTGTAACATCTTATCCTGTCGCTTACAGTCAGTAATTTCTCCCCCGCAAAATTTAGAAGCTGCATTTTTTTGTTATTTTATTATCAGCGCTTGTTGTGTGCGCTGTGCACTTACGTACACTATCCCAATTTGATGTGGTAACTGAGCAGCATTTGTCTTTCAGATGTGATTATTTTTCTTTTCTTCAGCCAATTCCTGACAATCTGTTTATATGTCAAACAAACGAACACACAAACAAACTAACACCAGGAAGTGGTAATAATGTAACAGGGTTAAATACCGTGTGTCTTTCAGTGTTAAATGGGATTGAAACTATAATATAGCCATGCAAAATAAATGTTTAATAAGTGACAAAAACGTCATGTTAGTGTGCAGCAACTCATTCATTCTGTCCCTTTTTTTTTTTTTTGTTCATTCCAAGACTCTTTCAGTTTGCCCCATGCACTGTTCAAGGTTGCCAGGTGGCTTATCTATCCAATGCATTGTCGAACAGAATCATTCGAGTAAGCTTGGAGAGCATTTTCTCACTTGTTTTCTCTTTTTTTTTTTTTTACTGTCCTTGGTTAACACCACCTAGGGTGTGGTTTTCAGAAAAATGCCTGCTGACCTTCAAACATGCAGTTATTAATTTCAAATTGAACAAAGGCAACTTCAAATTGCCCGCACATGACCCTTAAACATAAACGTCGATAAAGCTGGAAGATTTTGCTCTTGTGTTGAACTAAATTTCTCAGGCATAACCTAACTCAAAGACAGCAAAGTTGTAAACAAATTTACATAATTTCATAACACAAGACCATCGTTTCTCTCACATTAGCAGCCGTGATGGTTCTTATCAGTTTTCGAGAGAAATGCGCAGCTTGTGAATGTAATCTACAAAACAATGTATCATAATCGGAATTTCCTGGCAAATAAGAGCGCAACAGGAGCAGTTATAAAACAAATTATTAAAAAGCCACAGACATGTAACACTCACAAGTAAAGCAAATCAAGGCCTTCACTACACGCATACATGTTCAACCTATATAACAATATCCCACATACAACCACTCACTATCATCACCCCACCACTCTACCTTTATACTACTGATTTGCATGGGCGTCATTAGGCCTATTTTAGGGAGGCTTCAGCCTACCTAAAAATGTCTTTAGCCCCCCTAAATAATTTCATTGCATTATTTAAAAAAAGTATCATTTATTTTTCCTGTACTTTTGCTAATATATTGCATCAAATTCAATGCAATGTGGCCATTTTAAATTATATTTCGATAACATCAAAGGCTAACAGAATATTCCGGGCACCTGCAAATTACAGACAATCTCTGCGCGTCACGAGTGCAAAACAAGAAGAGCATCATATCATTTTTATATTATCAGAAGGGCGGTAGCGAGGCACAAATTGTGCCTTTTCTCCGAAACCGATTCTCAGCTTGGCGCATTCCAAAGTTTGTGCGTCTTCAGCAGGGAGTATTCCAATTCTACGTGATGATTGTTACAAGGACGCCAAGCTACACTGCGGGCATGGGAAAGCCACACAGCATGACCAAATATGAGCAGAATAAAGACTTCAGCACCAACATATTAAATTGAATGGACATAAACGTCTCCCTCTTCATAGGAGCTCACTGCAGCGCAATGTTGCTTCTTGAAGGCAAAAGTGTCCGATGACATAACTATGTATTGTATATAATTTATCCATAATCGTGGCGATTGTTATTTTACAGAGGTTACGGCGGGCCTCAGTACAGATGACGAGCATGTGACTTGGTGACGATCATTGCAGTTTTTGACATGAAAGCAAGTAATTAAGCTTTCTTTGTTTTTTTTAAACATACATGACGTGTATCATTCGAGCGCACACGCAATTCTTTCCACTCCTCTGTGACGTTTGGGCACATCGACTGCCCCTATAAAGGAAGGAGCTGGCGCAGGTGGGGGGAAGCGACGCGGTTGAGTTGGAGACACTTTTTTGGCCGGACGCATCATCCATCCTCATCCATCCTCCCTCAATCGTTGCTCGCCGCATTCAAGTTTCAAGCAAGAGTTGGGCCCACTCTACTACAACCCTGACAGCATGAAGACGCCACTCATCGCGACGCTTATCGTCACCGTGTGCATTTGGTGCACTTGTACAGGTGAGTAAATCATTCACTTTTGGCTTCACGATGCAAATCCCCGAAATTCACGTGGAGATGTGTTCGCTTCCTTCGGCGTTCAACTTTTATGATTGAGGTTTCGTTTCAAGCCTCGTGCATTTATACACTCATCTCGATTTTAATTAATGACACACGAATCACTGTGGATTTCATTTGCTTAAAAAGGCGACCTGCGGCAGTGTGCTGGGTCGCGCTTTGTCTTGCTGTCACTTTTCATTGATTGTCATCGTCTCGTCAGCGGTCCCCAAACTTTTTTTTTTTTTTTTTTGGCCCCACGATCCGGTTTAATGTCAGACAATATTTTCAGGGCCTTTCAGGTGTGACGGATAAACGACGGTGTTTTCGAAACATAATCCAAAACCCGAATCATGACGCGGAGAAGGTTCAATCTGGTCGCAACGCTCTCTGGTCGCTATGGTAACATTTAAACGTGCCTTCAAAATAAGATACGGCGCAAAAACAAAAGTGCATAAAAAATACGACGCACCATCTCAAACTCTGCCTCATGCAAGGGAGTGAAGACCTTCAGTTTGCACATTGCTGTTAGGGCCCCCAACCTCAAGCCATGAAATGGCGACGGAGAATGGTAAATGTTAACAGTGCTCCATGACCGCTGGACTTTGAATTTTTCATGCATATGCAATGAAAGAGGTCAGACCGTGGTGGGTGTTGGTGTGGTTCTTCACATGTTGTTGTTCTTCCAGCGCTGTCCGAGTGTCCAACAAGCTGGTTGCGCTTAAGGGAGCACTGTTACTACTTCTCTACCGACCAAATGTCATGGCGACATGCTGAGTACAGCTGCCTCTCCAAGGGAGGCCACCTGGCGAGCATTTGGGACAGAGAGGAGCAGGTGATATTTCCAATTCTCTGTCTCTCTGGTTCTCTCACCCTCCCCCACCCATGTCACAATCTCTTTCCCTCTCCCTTTCTTGCAGTCCTGGGTGCGTGCACAAATGTCTGTGAGCAGCGCCTGGATTGGCCTGTACTATTCTCAATTGTCTCCAGCACAGTGGAAATGGACAGACAATACAATTTACTTTTTTCTTGCATCGTAAGTATTCATTCCAGTACTGCTGTTGTCGTTGCAGATATTGATGATGACTTCATCGAATAGCTGTTTTTCAGGTTTTGAAATAAGGTCAAGGTCAACAGGAAGTCCCAATTTCTTTCCGCTCGTGTTGTGACTTCGAAATGTCAAAGAAAGCAAAAGTGACTATTTTTCCCACTGTTGCCAGCTCGGAACATTTACAGTGTGTCGAAAGCTTCACTTGCGAGGATTCTGCAATGGTGGCTGACGAAGCCTAAATGTCAGCACCGTATCGAAAGTCTGGCCAACATAAGATCTCAGTTTGGCTCCATGGAGAGTGATTAGCTCTTAAGGCGGTCACGTGTTTTATTTTTCAGGTGCCATCTTGTAGCTCCCCTGACTGTCACTTCCACAGAATTCAATTGCTTTTCCCTTTTTTTTTGAACAAGCACTGCAAAAAATGGGCACATGCGTATTAGCTTGTGAGTGAAATGCAAAGACGGACCTGCAGCCGAGCTCTTGTCCGCTTCAGCTCTTTGTTACATCTCTGTGTGAAAGTTCATCTGTTTCAGGTTCTGGAATTCTGGTAAACCAAGCGGCTATCTTCTTTTACGCTGTGCTGAGGTCATGTCCCGGGCAGAGGGCTGGGACCACGTTTCCTGCTTAAAAGTCCAGCCGTACATCTGCAAGCGTGCCGTAGGTGAGTCCGCAATGTGTTAACTTGCAGGCTTGGGGGTAGCCCATTGAAAGTAATGGCACTACCATGACAAACAACATTTGCATGTCGTCTAATGTGCTCTTTTCGAACTGTTTGTATCCCTGCAGACAAGACCCCAATTCCTCCTCCGAGGACCAATTGGGAGACCGAGATCTGCGCGAGCGACCCCAGTCAGTCGTCGTGTTCCTCCAATGACATCACATGCTCGTGCCTGCTCGCCATGTTTGCTAACCCGGTAAATCGACTGTGGATGCTAAGGAGCATTTTGTTTTTTTTTTTACATTCTTCAAGCTTGTCCAGCGATTGTAATAACATTTTTCAACATCAACACCAAACTGAAGCGCCAGCTTCATTTCGGCGTCGCCCTGCTGGGGATTTTCCTCTGTCTCCCGAGCGTGTGGGACAGAGTGAAAACACTGGCAAGGAGCCGCTGTAGGTCACAGCTCACATCTGAATGCTCACCCTCAGACTACCCAGCCAATGAAATATAACAACAAATGAAACCCATCATATTTGGCTGAAGTCTTAGTTCGATCTCGCACCCTCAACAACGCTGAAAAATAACTACTCAACGACATGTAGATATTATTTGAGTTAAGAACGTATTTTTTTTTTTTTCATCACTTGATTTCTCTGCCTTAAAATCACGGCTGACACAATGGTACCAACAGTCCCGTCCGCAGAGTACTTCTTGACATCGGTCATTTTGTTTAATATGTTTGTTGATTTACATGTAACAAAAACTGCGGGGGGTTTTGGGAGGAATTGAGCAGCATCTCGTTTCATTTTTATGGGGAGAAGACATTGGCGATGCGTCTTAAGTTGACCTCATTCAAGAGGTCTCAAAAAATATATGTCCACATCGTCTGTGAAAAAAATTGTGTTGTAAAACGCGTCGGGTATTGTATTGTCATTTTTCTCAACTGCGCAGAATGGCGGATTCAAAGCTGCGCTCGACCACGGCCTCAGCGTGAACCGCAGCATCGTCATCAGAGGACGAGCCAATCCCAGTGCAGAGAGGTAATAGGCGGTTCCCCATCCCTCAACAAAGAGGCCCGTTTCCGTGACAACACGTTGATGCGCCTTTCTGCGGCAGGCTCATCGTCAACGTGAGGATGTACGACAGCGACGACGCCGACGGCGATAATCCGACGGCGTTGCGCCTGGCGTTCCACTTTGAAGGTGGAACCATCGTGCTCAACTCCCACTTGAGCAACTCGTGGGGAGAACCACAGACGGAGGACTTTGCCGAACAGTGCCCCTTTGGAGCCGGACTAGATTTCAAGGTATCCCCACACACTACCTCTTCAACCCAACATCACTGCTTGTCAAATTTAGAACAATCTCCCCAATATTTTGGAAGGGTTTTCCATCTGAAGCTTTTTCTGTCCTGAGTCCTGAGGATGAGGAAAAGGGTAAACCGTAACATCCAAAATATCATTCTCATATTTGCAAAGGGTGAAATGGGCAAAAGTTGGATGTCTGTATCAGTTTTTAAAACTGCAGCTTTCTTTCATGAAGTATTTTTGACTTGACTTAAGACTGACCGGCGACCAATCTGTACTCCTGTTCAAAACTGACTCCCGATTGAAGCGCGCTTTTTTTTGTTTTGTTGCCGACCAGATTGTCATCTTGTGTGATGCTGACGCTTTCCGCCTGACCTTCAACGACATGCAGCAGCTGGATTACAAGTATCAAGTCCAAGACCTGCAAAGTATCAAGTGGCTGGAGGTCTGGTACGCGCAGCTGACTGGCATCCAACTGATGTGAAGGCTGGACGTGAAGGCGCAGTTCGCAAACAGCTTCGCGTCCTGATGTCCACTTCTTTTCACTCACTGCTGCCACCTTCTGTTGTTATCCACTGTTTAAGTTAGATATATTGTGCCTTGAAGTGACTATGTAAACATTCCATGTAACGAGTAGAAATAATCATTAACTTTCAACAATGTCAGCAAACGTGTTTGAACAAGAATAAAAGCCTTGCTCTCAGTTGTGTGTCGTTCAATTAGTTTGTTAATTGCAGCACCCTCTTGTGGCCAGAATTGTCTTTATAATGTCATTTTCATGAGGCGTATTTATTTTGGCCAGGAGTTGCAAAACCAATTCACTCAATTCAATTTAAAGGTGCCCCAATATGAAACGTTCAGGGAATGTAGGATTTCTGTGCTCACTGATATTTAGGTTGAACATTATGTTTCGGCATGTCGGCATGTTTAACACACACAAGCCAAATCCGAATTGAGCCGTTTTCATATGTGGATATAAACATGGGCGGAGCTGCATGGTGACCAGGGATGGCCATAGTCACCTCTATGGCAACGCCACACCTTGCAGCAAATTTTGATATTTTGAATTTTTCCTGCCTTATTTATTTACATGAATTCCGTATTGTTTGATCCCTCGATACTCCCACAAGTTAACTGCTTATTTGAGTTTATTTGAATGAAAACCCATGAGAGAATCTCTGAAATATTTGTCGTATTATCGAAAGGGCCTGGAGTAATTTTTGATCCCGTGTATGGCAAAGTAATACAGTGTACAAAAACGAATTAAAAAAAATTCTCACTTCAAAGACGACTTGTTTGATGAATATATGGAAGATTAACTAATAAATACAAATTATACAGACATTGAGGAAAAATTTATTAAACATGGTTTAATCTCACCAAGACTCAAAGAAATAAGTAATTTCTCAATCGTGAGAAATTTCCCAAGGAATTGGCAAAAAAAAAAAAAAAAAGTTTCCCAAACATTCAAAGAAATTTCTTGACACGTGTGAGAACCCTCCACTCGCTCATTCTGAATATGCTTATATTTATATTTTATAATTTAATTTTACTTTTACATTTTTGTTCTTGTACTTCTCCCTTTCATAATTTTTGCTGCTGTAAATTGGGAATTTCTCCATGATGAGACAAATAAAGGTGTTCTTATCTTCTGTAATGTATATTAAAATATGACAAACATTTATAGATAGAATGGTGAGAAATGGAATGAAAATTGAGAAATTTTGCGTTAATTGTGAGCAATTTATGAAAAGATGTGACTTTTTGGGGCGGTGTAAAAAATGAAAAGGGGAATTTCTCAAATTGTTCATTTCAACACGATTCAAAACAATTTAAAAAAGTAAGCTTTGTGATAAATAAGATAATAAATACCTAAAAATGTGATCAAAATGTATAGAAAACTTGGTTCAAAAAATGAGAGCGAGTGTTTCACAATTTGACGCTTGTTGATCAATATGTGTGTATTTCATGGAAAACGTGTCAGTGCTTGTTCCTTTAAGTTGCCGTTCGGTGTGCGCTGTTCCAGTGGCTCCTCCAATCGGCATGAACATCAGTAGAAACTGCACCCCACAGGGGGGTGGCGGTGGGCTGGCTGCGCTGGAGTCGGTTTCCATCGTAACCATCACCCTACTGGCCTGCCTGGGCAACCTTCTGATCGTGGCCACGCTCTATCGCCGCCCCTACCTGCTGACGCCCAGCAACAAATTTGTCTTCAGCTTGACTCTGTCTAACCTGCTGCTGTCAGCCCTGGTCCTGCCCTTCATGGCCGTCAGTTCAGGTCCACCCGCACTTCCCAATAACTGTTTCAAAGAATTGAATAATAATTATTGTTGTTTTTGTTCTTGTGATTTAAACCGGTTGAAATCAGTGTTTTGCGCTCCATTTTACATCCAGAATGTGGCAGTGTTGCACCAAAAAGAAGAAAGAAAAAAAAAGCAGTCGGGACCGAATGTTGTCTGTGATGTCGTGTCTGCTGTTTTCCGGGGATGTTCTGTGCATCCATTTAAAGAGATTGATGTCAGCGTTCCACTAACACTCACCACTCCTCATTTTATCATCAGACCTCATGAAGGGAGCACTTAAGAAGTCTGCCAGAGCTGTTATTTTTTTTCATTGAGCCCACAGAGTCTTATGATAGGGGAACCTCTCAACCAAAACAAGCCTGAAATTGTACAACTGAAGAAAAAAAAAAACCTAACGTTAGGCAAGACTGTTTTACGTTTTGTGGTGGCTAACTTCTTTTTACACTTGTATGACAATTAAGAACGTTGGAATGTTTCTTGAAACGGATGGTTCAGATTTGCTTGTTGCTCTTTTGTTTTGTTTTTGTTTTTGCTCACCACAGCAGTATTTCACTGTAACAGATCACAGTATACATTGAGTATTTGTTGTTCATCATTCGTGAAGTTACCTAAATATTCGCAGATTTATTTATTTTTTTTTGAGGGGGGGGGGCTAACCTATTGGCCGACTTTAATTAAAAAACCCACCTGTTTTTTTTTTTTTTTTTTTTTGCAGGGGGAGGGGTAGCATGGGGGCTGCTCGGGCCTAAATCACGTCTAATATAAAAATATTGCTTTGGGGCTAACTTGTAGACAAGGACCCTTGTTGAAGTGGGGGCAGGAGCTACCTTTTAGCCTTAGAGGAAAAAAAGTGCTTTGCCACCATTTTATGGCATTTGAGGGCAATTGACAACCTTTTGGGGTGGGTGTCAATTTCCAATTTTTCCTATTAGTGTGGCCTCACTGCTGTATTTCAATTGCATAGTGCGACAAAATAGACTGCGTTCAATTCTGTAAGTTCCACTGTTTTAAAACAAAAAAACAAACAAACATTTTGTGTTTTTCAGTGCAGGAAGCTTGAACAGTAAACGCTCACAGGAGAGAGTTTTCCCGGAAACACGCATTCCTCAGCATACAGTACGTACTTCATAGCTTTTTCCACTCCCGTAATGCTTTGCTTGAATTCAATTCGGTCTTGTCAGCCTCATGTTCTTGCTCCTTCCTTCGGCCAAGATTCAGAGATTAGGACACGCGCATGCACAGTTGCGCGCGCGCGCACACACACACACACACACACACACACACACACACGCACACACACACGCACACAATACACTGGAAATCATCTGGAGTCATGCCACCTCTCGTCAGTTTGCACGCTCACTCGGTGATGAGTCAGGCTGTGAAAGCGTCTCCGGTTGTGTCACAGTATGACGTTCAGTAAACCCCCATGACCTCTCTGTGCTGTTAAACAAGCCCATTTGTCTGCATACAAACGAGATTTTGGGATATTGCAAAGAAACGTTTTATTCTTCGAGGGACCACTTGGAGAAATTAAAAACGTCGCACAACATCCCAATGAGCAACTGTTAACTACAATATTAGGCAAAGCTCATGGCTCCCTATATACTTCTGATCCGGATTTGATTTTGCTCGACCGTGGACTATTCGCTAGCCTGAGCCAGTCACAAGGTCACATACAGATAAAGACAAACAAGAATTCACACTCAACAAACTCAGACAATTTCAATTTGATGTATGTAGAGCCCCCTTGAGATGAGCGGCCATCTTGTTTGGAACGTGGGAGGAAAATGGATCAAACACACAAAAGCACTTTTGCCTGTGAGACAAAACTGCTAACCACAATTCCACTCTGATGGCAGGAGCTATAATATGATTTATCAACTGCATACACAGTGGCAGTTGTAAGGCGCCCTGCGTGACACCCTCATCTGCCCCTCTTCGCTCCAATGAAAAACACACACTCGACATTTTTAAATATCACTGCTGTCGGGTCGAATACTTGAACCTCCAAAATAATCCCTTTTCAGGATAACTTCAAAATGTCGCGTTTGTTCAACCATTAACATTGCATGTCCAAGAGAGAAAAATAATAACAATAATAATAATAATAATAATAATAATAATGCACACATGCGTGGACTGACCAATCGTATATATTTGTGAAAAATATTACATTTGACCAAATTGTGACATAAGTGATTACGGCTGAACACCAACAGTATAACGAAGGACAAACAAATGAGAATACAGCAATGGCAAATATGTATATCTTATATTTATTATTATTATATAGTGGTGGCTCATCAATATAAGTCGCGAGGGCTACGGTTTTGAAATGACATCAACTTGGATATTCACCGGCATTCATATGGATTATGTTCCACTTTGGTGGTTCCAATATTTTCTTGCGGTGATACCTTTGGTCCAAAAGTGTTAAAAGAACAGATGTATATAACGTAATTCAACCTCAAACCAAAATAGAAAAAAAAAAAAGATATGATGAGAGTGATGTTGACTGGAAAGACAGTTGCAGGAGAAATCAAAATTCCCATGGAACCACACAAACCGAGCTCTCGCCTGTAATAAAAGACTCACACAATGACGTGACAGTGGGCCAGGATGTGGGAAACTAAATAAAAACCTCCTCAATGCGCAACCACTGTTATGAAGATCTCTAAAGTGAGAGGTTGCCTGTCAAGTCCACTGCGGGAGAGGAAGGTGACCACTGACTCTGACCGACGGCAACAAATGATCCGCTCATGGTTGACCAAACCCCCACAAAGATGGGAGGGGGGGGGGGGGTTGGGCTTGGGGGGGGGGGGGGGGGGGGGTTAGGACGGTGAAAGGAGGGAACACACGGAACAGGAGTAGATACTGTAAACCGTAGTGGTCCAAAATGCTAAAACAAGGAATGAATTGAGATGACGATGACATCACAACACATCAGAGCAATCCCCAGATACTGCCTAAAATACAATCGAAGCTGTTGAACATCTGAGGGCAAAATGCCGTCTCTCGTGGGACCCTGAGGGACACTCACTTGGGAAAACTTGCCAACAGTTTTGGAGTCAACGCGTGAACAACAGGACCGGCAACATTTCAAGTTCCATTTTCACAAATTTCCCCTGATGAAATCATGGCAATAGAAATTCTCTTACTTTTTCTTTTGGGTGACGAGTGAGTGTAAATGATACACTTAATTTATTCAAACTACGGTAGTTGTCTTGAAACTTTTAGGTGACATGAAAGCGTCAATTAATTTATCATCACAGTGTTTAAAAAAGCCACACAGGAATGCGCAACGCATATAATACTTTGTCCCAACATTAAAAAAAAAAAAAAAATTGACAGTGTATGCCCCTCGGAGGATGTGATAAAATTTAAAATGGCCCCCGGATAGGAAAAAGGTTGGCCTGGTCTACTTCAAAAGGTGATGAAGAGTCCATGTTAGTTTAAGGCTCTCTCGGGGTGAGCCACACTGTGTTCCCTTGTTTGTGGAGCAAAGAGGCGGGACTTTTTTTTTTTTTCTTTGGGAAAAAGAGGAATGCGCTGGAAGTTTTCCTGCAGGAGACCTTCACAAGTTGAGGAACGTCTTTCCTATCCGGTCCCCCCTCGTCTCCCTTCTCAGCATGGACATGTGGTCTCTGCTGCTGCCGCTGTGCGTCCACATCTGCTTCTGCTCTGCATATGAAGGTAAGAACTAACTCGAACCCCCCTCTACCCCCCATCCCACCCCTCAATCCTTGCCCTACTTTTTTTTTTGGTGCTCCAAAGACAACCCCGCTGCTGCTGTCTCGTCTCTAGGGACGTGATGGCTTGTGTTAATAGGTTGGATTCTCTCACGTCAAGGGCTGTTTGATGTTGTGCCCTGGATTTGTGGGTCAAGCCACTTTTTTTATTTTTTTTTTTAGTTGCGTGGACGTGGAGGGGCCGTGGAACAAGGGGAGTGCAGTGTGCATGCGGGGGGACTTGCACAGCTCGGCGTTCTTCCCCTTTTTACAAAGTATATTAAGTCCGCCCGTGAGGCCAGCATTAATGGCCACTTATTGCATGTCTACACACTCACACAGCACACACACTGACACTTTACAGTATTTAATGAGGCCAGACTGGCTTTTGGAGCCAGGCGGTGTGCAGCTGGACTGATTTCAAAGTGACGCATGCTGTACATGGCAATCACGCATGCTGAAACATGAACACAAGCGTTACGCATTCACACTGAAAATGTCAAGAAGACTGCTCTGTTCGGCGAGTGTGTTTCTGCAGTTTAGTTTACAGGGGGGTGTGTGTTTGTGTTTGCCCAGGTGGTTTTTGGAAAACTGGTGTGTATGTATATTGAATGTAGGCTAAATTTTAAAATGTGCCGAAAAGCTCCAATAAGTGGTCCAGTTGCACTGTGATTGGTACCGTACCACTCTTTGGAACACTTGCACTTAAAATGGGCATCGAAATGGTTCGTATTGGAACCCTGACGTTTTCATTGTTGAAAGTTATTGTCGGCGGCGAGGCTGAAACGATTAATCGAATGATTCAAATAATTTGATGAAAGAAAAGTCGGATCAAAATTTCTGCCTCAAAGCTCTGGAGGTTTAATTTCTTTCACTCTGAGTAATATCGATATGTACACCATACTAACTTCCGTTGACGCACGACTCCATGAAGGAATAAGAGCCACGGGGAGAGACCGTATAAAACATTTAGGCAATTTTAATTTGTCGTTCAAAAAAAGAAGAAAAAGTACAATGTGTCCACTGCAAAACTTAACTCACGGACAGCCTACCACCGCTACTTAAAGCATATGGTAATGCCCCCACAAGTGCTCAAGAACAGGCACAGCCGCCAGTGCACTATCAATCTCTTTATTGAACAGACAGTAACAAAATAAAAATGGAATAAGCACCTTCATACACAAGCTGCTCCGGCCACAATTGACCACCCGGGCACTCGAAAGTATGCAGACTGGCTAACAGTTAGCCAGTTAGCAGCCAGGTGCTAAAGTGAATTCACAACAGCTCACAACTCTATGACTCCCACGTCAGGACAGAGCCCACTTTTCAAAGACACAAAAACCCAGTCATGTTGTGGAGCGTGAAAAGGGAGACCCCAAGTGGACACCAATTGTAGCTGCACCTCACGTGCACAATTTGTTGTTGAATGATGCAAAATCAGAATGAGCCGCTTCCATTGTCCGGGAAGCAGGCTGGGTGTGCTTACGCCCACAATGGCGCAAACGGCCCTTTCCTATTGCGCTTGCCTGCAAAAATACCAGAACAAAAAAAACCTCCACCCACCCACAAAGGGACCACGTTTTCCAATAGACTTGCGCTGGGCAATAAACTAGCGCCCCTTGTGTTTCCATTGTCCGATGTTTTGAATGGGTACCAAAATAACTGGCTTGCTCTGCTTTGAGTAGCAAAAACATTTATGCTTCATTTTTCTAAAAATGCAAATGTTTGTTCATGAAACGATAATCTTATTGTTCATATACTTAGCGTACGGTTGAAAATGAGACAGTGACCTCAGTCAAAATTGCTAGCGAAGGAAAATTCTTCTCAGTCGTAAGCCACGACTGCACGTCGACATTTGGAGGACGAGAGTATTCGCTTCATGGCAGTTGATGTTGCGAGCCTACGGAGAGAAGCTAATTGCAAATCAGCCTTGGTAATTGAAAGTTTTAGTCATTCCCCAAGGTTTGCTGGGAAGATTTTTATTTAAACCGCCTCCACTGCTTGCACTTTAGACTTTTTTTTTTTCCCACCGTCTTTCTGGGAAATGGAAGCAGCCCTGAGGTGAAGTAGAAACTAAAATATCAAACGATGCCACAGCCGAGCAGACCTGACTTGAATACGCTGACGCGCTCATTAGCTGTGAGATGTGTCATATGTCTCGACGGACATATTTTCACGTCTAAGTCAGGGTGAATCATAAGCGTGCGACTGCTATATCGACCTCCTCTCAATCACCGCTCGCTTACTAAACATTCGCACTTCACCATCTCTTCTTCGGATTAAAACTGTGAGGAATCAGGGCTACGAATTTGTCCTCATTTCCTTACATCAATGATGTGGCAAATGAACCACGAAGTCATGGTTAGCAGATCTGCCTCACAGACGAGGGGTTTTTGGTCCAAATCTTGGCTCAAGCCCTTACTGAGTGTGTGTGTGTTCTCCCTATGCTTGCAAGGGTTTTCTCCTCCCACATTCCAAGACTTTAAATTGGCCCCTTGTATGACTGTGAGTGAAAATGTTCCTCTGTCTATATGTGCCGTGCAATTGACCGGCGACCAAAGTGAGCTGGGGATAGGCTCCGGCTCACCGGCAACTCGAGTGAGGGGAGGTACTACAGAAAATGGATGGAAGGTATAATTGACTATCAATGCCACCGAATCAACAGAATTGTCATGGATCAATCGATACATTTTTATGCGAATCCGTAGTGAAGGACAGCACAGATACGATACGTTTACTTTGTGATATTTATATCCATGTGACAATAATTCACCTCCCTCCCCCAAGCCCCCAGGTCCACCCCCAATTTTTTAGCAGCAGCTAAAATTTGTTGGTAAAGATACCAGTCACATGTGTATTACGCTTTTTGTACTTTATGAAAAAAAAAATAGGAATATCATCATTTAAAAGAATGTAAAGAATTAAATTGATTTGATTTTAATTCATTGTGCTGCTATGGTGTGCATGCCTGATATATACATATAAACATAAAGAAGACGGTTCAGTAAACTGGAATACTATTAATTGTTTTCTGTAGGGGATAAAAAATAAATGCATACGATGACTTGTATTGTCTGTCCACATGTGTTGCTGCACCACTTGTGTTCAAACGTCTGTTGCAGTTGCAACACTGACATATTGATGCTAGTTTCAATAGCCCGTTTATGACTAGTTTCACAAGACAAAGTTATGTCGCGTATTCAAATACACAACGAGGACTTCTGTTGGTTTTATGGTCAGATTAGAAATAAACGTTAAAAGATAGTGATAAAAAAAAAAAACAGCTTCAAGCAAAGTCTTGGCCTCTTTTTCTAAAGAATTGCTTACTCCCTGCCAAACTGCTTGTTGTGAGATTCAATGCCACTATCTAGCTCTTGTAACTTGAGTTTTTTTTTTTTCTCACAACTCAAGACAAAAGAATCCTCAGGTCACTCGTCGTAAATCATGGTAGGATTATAATTACCTCTGGCTTGTACATAATCCAAAAACATTGTCTTCTTTTATTAGCCCCCACTTTATGTGGCCTTCACGCACTGCCTGCTTGCGCAATAAAAATGGCTGCAGAGTGATGAGTTCTGGCTGCGGTTAAGCAGTTTTGTTGAACTTGGCCAATGTCCTCCAGTACGTTGTGCGCGAAAATAAATAGAGCTTCACGCTGTAGTAAATCTCCTTGTATGGCCTCTGATCAGGCAAGTGAAACAAAAGCTGCTCTTTTGCAGGATTTCAACGATGATACAGACAATTAAGAGATTTGGAAGCAGTGAACGTTCTGGTTCACACACACACCAAACGCCCCCCCCCAAAAAAAACAGCAGTATAAAGTCGATTTGTTGAGACGTACCCCAAGTAAAGCACCTGAATAACCGCTGTGTCCTCAACCAAACTTTGCAGACACCGTTGGTGCCGAGAAGTAAGAAGCATATGTTAATATGTGTCAAACAGAGACGGCTAACCTTCCGACTTCATAAAAGATGCAGTGAGGAAAGCTGTAATTGGTTGCAAAAGGGACGATTGATGAATGATGTCAGAAGGCCAATCTGTGGAGGCAGCCAGCAAGTTGACGAATGACTTGAATAAAGTCAGGAAAGAACATAACCAAACGGCGGACCTTCAAAACTCAACAAGTTAGGAGTCTGTCCTTTTGCCCGGATTCGGATGGTATAGGCTTTATCTCCATGTAGCATTGAACAGGATAAGCTGCAGAGAAGACGGCGGGATGGATGATGTCAATAACACCGGACATAGTGGCAGCTATCTATCCTATGGTAAAATTAAAATGAAATGACATAAGTCACTAATCATCGCCGCCACTGCAGCGAAAAAAAAAGTTCCACTTCTGTTAAGTAGCATGCTGTCCTTCGTGCCTCCGCAAAACACCGTGCTTGTGCGCTACCATGCACTTGTCACGTAGGTCTGGCTGGAACCACGTTAGTAACTAGCTTCGAATAGCAAAATACCAAGATATTTAATAGGTAATGGTTAAGTAGTGATGTTGCCGTAATCCATACCATGAAGCGATGCAATTGATACCGTGACATAAATTTTGGGCCATATCACCCTGCCCTAGCTTGAATTCTAAATTCTACCACTTGGGAGGTTGCGTGACGGTGAATGTTTGTTGGCACGATTTGCACCTCCGCAAAGAAAATTTCCTCTATAAATCCCCCAAGTCATCAAAGGAACACTCAGATGTCTTATTTTTCTGCGATCCATTTTCGATATATCACCTCGTCTTTTCTCCTCTTCGACAAGCGCAATCATAAGTTTTCCTCTGAGCCAGCGAAACTCAGCGCCGAGCGTTGAGTTCTTTCCCAGTGATGATGTGTCATCGTGTGTCAGTGAAAACCTCAGCGCTGGGTTTTCGGTCGCGGCTTTGCGCGTGTGAACGCGCAAAGGCAAAGCCGCGTCAGCCAATATTGGCCGGGGGGGCATGATGAGAAATGTGGCTCGATGGCTAACGCCACTGACCAGAAGACTGACAATGCGAAGGCTGGAGGAGGACGGAACACATCTCCTGGACTTGTGAAAAGAGCCCCGTATTCACCACCGTGCAGAGGCCAAAGTGGAGCAAGTTTAACGCCTCCCTCCCACCCCCAATACTTTCTCTTCGCTCACACATTACTTTTCACCTTGCTTTTCACCTCTTAGGAGAGATTTACATTGCTCGATTGAAAGTGACACAATTCAGATTTGTTTGCTCTCAAGTGACACTATTTGGGATATACGGCACAGCTGTGTATTTCGTGTGTGTGTGTGTGTGTGTGTGTGTGTGTTCAAACCCTCCCAAAAATCTTCTTCAGAAGATGACGATAAACAATCATCATATGTTCCCTATGGAGAATGGAAAATGGAAGGGCAATCCAGGAAAATTCGTCAATTATGTGACCCCCAAATACAGGACCAAAAGTAAAACCCCGGAAGTGTATCATCTAAGATGAAAATGAAGCCTACAAAATCGAATATCGACTGCAGCATAAGTGACTCAATTAACAGATTTCTCGACGAATTGACAAACAAATGGCCCTTTGAAGGCGGCGTCAGCCAATATTGGCCGGGGGGGCATGATGAGAAATGTGGCTCGATGGCTAACGCCACTGACCAGAAGACTGACAATGCGAAGGCTGGAGGAGGACGGAACACATCTCCTGGACTTGTGAAAAGAGCCCCGTATTCACCACCGTGCAGAGGCCAAAGTGGAGCAAGTTTAACGCCTCCCTCCCACCCCCAATACTTTCTCTTCGCTCACACATTACTTTTCACCTTGCTTTTCACCTCTTAGGAGAGATTTACATTGCTCGATTGAAAGTGACACAATTCAGATTTGTTTGCTCTCAAGTGACACTATTTGGGATATACGGCACAGCTGTGTATTTCGTGTGTGTGTGTGTGTGTGTGTGTTCAAACCCTCCCAAAAATCTTCTTCAGAAGATGACGATAAACAATCATCATATGTTCCCTATGGAGAATGGAAAATGGAAGGGCAATCCAGGAAAATTCGTCAATTATGTGACCCCCAAATACAGGACCAAAAGTAAAACCCCGGAAGTGTATCATCTAAGATGAAAATGAAGCCTACAAAATCGAATATCGACTGCAGCATAAGTGACTCAATTAACAGATTTCTCGACGAATTGACAAACAAATGGCCCTTTGCGGCTGAAGCCAGATGGCAGCCATCTTATGTTGCTACAATCAGTAACAACTTTTGTTGTTGTTGTTTTGAGTAAAAACACTGTTGTCAGTGCATGTTTTATGATAGGGTGCTTGTATGGAAAGAAAAAAGAGTCTCAGAAAATAATGTGAAAATGCAGCATAGAAATTGATGTACCGGCATTCAAATTAGGAGGGCGGAGTGAGTGGCAACGTAAGATGGCTCGCCCGTGGCTTCACTTCTCGCGCGGATGAGTCAGCGGCATTATCCATAAGGCCGTGTTTCATGTGTTCCGTCATATCCAACAAGTGTCACTTGAAATTTACTCAAAAAGACCAGTCCCAAAATTATCAAATACTGTCCCTAATTGGAAAAAGAAAATCCAACCTGACTTTCTCCTCATTTTGATGATTTTCAAAGTGTGTGGCATAAAGGGCAGCACCTTGAGAAAAATGAAATGTAACAGTTTTTTTTTTTTTTTTTTTTAAGCTTCAGTATTTGCGAAAAACATTTGCGATATGAGGTTGAGCTGTCTTGGGGGAACATCTTTGTGACACACTTTGAAAATCCCTCTGCTGCTGTAGTCGCTTTATGATAGGGTGCTTGTATGGAAAGAAAAAAGAGTCTCAGAAAATAATGTGAAAATGCAGCATAGAAATTGATGTACCGGCATTCAAATTAGGAGGGCGGAGTGAGTGGCAACGTAAGATGGCTCGCCCGTGGCTTCACTTCTCGCGCGGATGAGTCAGCGGCATTATCCATAAGGCCGTGTTTCATGTGTTCCGTCATATCCAACAAGTGTCACTTGAAATTTACTCAAAAAGACCAGTCCCAAAATTATCAAATACTGTCCCTAATTGGAAAAAGAAAATCCAACCTGACTTTCTCCTCATTTTGATGATTTTCAAAGTGTGTGGCATCTCATTTTGATGATTTTCAAAGTGTGTGGCATAAAGGGCAGCACCTTGAGAAAAATGAAATGTAACAGTTGTTTTTGTTTTTTTTTAAGCTTCAGTATTTGCGAAAAAAATTTGCGACATGAGGTTGAGCTGTCTTGGGGGAACATCTTTGTGACACACTTTGAAAATCCCTCTGCTGCTGTAGTCGCTTCTGTTTTACATCAACTGCTGTTTAATTTGGCTAAAGAGGAATTGAGGCCTGTGGTAAGTATGCTTGTTGGGGAGCAGTTTTGGAACAAGAGTTTTCCAAATGCACTTTATGTACTCTGGGTGGTGTTTTTTTTTTCCCCAACTGATGTGTAATACATACCCAGGAAAACTCAAAAACAGTGAAACCTCTGCGGTCGTTTTAATCTTACGCATTCATTTTTTTCGATAGGAAATACGATCAATGATGTCACTATTATTGTAGACTCTAAAGATGATGTTCAAAGTAAGATTTTAAGATATGCATCTGTCATACAAAGATTAATTCATCATACAGTAATAGGATGTAAATACAATCAAATTATCGTCGCGATATCGTACAGGTCTGCCAGGAGAGAGATGCGCATGTTGCTTTTTCACGGCAAAATAAATTCAATTTTTCAATTTCGATTCAATTCAATTTAAAATCGACGGCTGTCAGATTTCATGGCACCCTACTGCGTTGGCATTAAATACAAAAAAAAAAAAAAATGAAAGAATACAGAGCGCCAAAGAAAAGCAGTATTCGAAAAGTCTCGCTGAGCTGAAGCTACACGATGTCTTTGTGAGGTCATGCGTGACGGCGCTTTGAATTTTTGACTTTCAAGACGTATTTTGGGGGCTAATTCCAAACTGCACGGCCTTGGGGGACGACGGGTGTCCATCATAGGCTTATTATTCCAATTTGGGTTTCAAATGCAATGTATCACATTGCCACAACAAATCGTCTGTGCAAGCTGAGAATTGTATTTAAAATAAATAAGTGCTCGGATTCATCTTCCTGGTCACATTAGAAAAATGACAGGGTGAATGGGGAGTGATAATAAGCGAGTGAATTTATACAAAATCAGCACGTTTTTTTTTTCATACCTAGCAAATCACTGTTGAACTATCGCCCTTGAGACAAAAATCACCACTAATTTCCCCGAGGCCAAAAGAAGTGCAAAGAGAATGGAACAAAATGGATCATTTGAGGTTCACTCCTTCTGCATGACTTCAACCCAAAAGATCCACAGAAACACATGCCCCAACACCCGCGCGCTCTCTTTTGTTGAGTGCGTTTCTGATGTCAAAGCAATTTTTTAAACTTGATCCCGGAGCCGTTTTGTTGCACAAATCCCGGGAGAGTATTAAAAACATTGCCTAACATCTTAGGCGCCATCTTTCCCCTGCTTATTAGTTGCTTTCTTTTTCTTTTCTTTTTATCTTTTGCTTGCCTCTCCAGGGTCAGGACAGCAGGCCTACGGCGATGATGAGGAGTGGTATTCTCATGCATTCAAAGGTGACATCACTCTTTACATTGTTGCGGTGCGCTGTGAGAACAATTGCATCAAAGTGGTCAGTCAGGGAGCGATAAAAAAAATAAAATAAAATCCTCAAAAACAATGTCTATTCTTTCTTCTCCCCTGCAATGGATACTCCTCATTCAGGGAATTAGCTGTGCGTGGGTGTTTGTCCTGAGCCAGCAGAAAATAAGATGCAGATTGCAAGTCAGATGAGAAACCACTCGGCAAGAATTTATTCCTGCAAGCGTTGTAGGCATGTATCCAACTTGGGAAGAAACAAGGAGACATGTTTTTTTGTTTTTTTACTTCCGAGAACTCGCTGTGAGTTAAGTTCTCTCTGTCATGACGGTGGTTGACATGGTAACTTGGACTGCTTAAAAGGTTGCAAAGAGGAAATCTAAAGCAATTGCAGAGTAGTCCAATCTTGGATGAGCTCCTAAAAGGAATCTGGGTTCATATACTATAAAATGAAGATAATAGGCAGGGGTGCACATCGCCGGTGCACGAGTGTGCATGAGCACTAGAAATTGAAAGTTGCGTTTTGCTGTTCATGTCTGTCACTGCATAATTGTGTATGAAACATTTTCCTTTTTTTTTGCAAAGTGCCTAGAGGACTGCGTCAAATCAGCTCATCACACAATCCCATGTGATAAGTCAGGGGAGGGCATGTAGGGTCCATGCGAGTAATTGGAATGGCTGTTTTGAATTATGCTTAAAAAAAAAACAAAAAAAAAAAACACACACCTAGGTGTTATGTGGCTTGCATGACATGTTCTCCTTTCACAGAATAAAAATTATAAGTGTAAAACATTAACTTTGATAAAAAGTGATGAGGCTTCTTAACACCCACCCCTTGTTGATGCCATTTCTTCATTCGGAATAAGTGTTGGAAAAATGGCAAAGAAAAATCTAAAAATGTTTTCAAATACTTTTGTCACACAAGTGTAAAAAGAAGTTCACTCAAGTTCATTGCAATCCCTCAAGTTCACCGCAATCCACCTCAATTCAATACGATGAAACAGTGTTTTCACAGCGAAATTACGAATTGTACACCTTAAGGTGAGATTCCACTGTAAATAAAAACAGAACCGCAATCCACCTCAATTCAATACGATGAAACAGTTTTTTGACAGCGAAATTACGAATTGTACACCTTAGGGTGAGATTCCACTGTAAATAAAAACAGCACCCCCTGCTGGATGTGGTTGGGCACTTTCCTATAATGGTAATAGGAAGAATACTACAAAGTACTACTGTCTTCAAAAATCATCTGGTAAGTGCCACTTAATGAAGTTTGTTCATCTAGTTTGTTGCAATTCATCAGTTTGTTGTGCTCAAACACATTTGCAACCTGTATAAGAAAGGTGTTTTAAGAAGTGTTTTGCGTCAAACTAATTCAAACATCTTTTTCATCCGGCCGCTTTATCACAGACCTTCACCTGTTATTATCGAACAAAGGGGCACGCCGTAAAACATGGAACCGACAAATTGACTTGATGCACTTTTTAGGGTCCGCGTGGTGTGCGCCAATTAAGCTGAAACACGGAGACGTGAGCTGCCGCACGCCGCGGGGTCACCACTCAAAGAACGCCATGGGGGCCCGCTGTAAAATCCGCTGCAAACAAGGATACGAGTCCCAAAGCACCGAGGTGGTGTGCATGGCCAGCAAACACTGGTCTTCCAACTATGCATGTCGAGGTGAGAACAAGGTTTTCTAGGATGCTACGGTGAGGGGGTGGAGGCGGGGGGGTCCCTTACCCCGAAGAAGTAAATACAGAAGAACCTGATTATCCCCCATTGATCAGAGCGCATGTCTTAAGTGTGTCTTGTTCTGACCGACGCCTTCAATTCAATTATGAGAATGGTGTTCTCTCTCTGTCTTTGGCAGAGATCCGCTGTCCCAAGATGAACATGCCCATTAACGGCGGCTACAAGTGCTCAGACGGCTCCTACTACAACTCTCGCTGCGAGTTCTTCTGCTCTCCGGGATTCACCCTGAAGGGCTCCAAGACGGCAACCTGCCAGTTTAACAAAGCCTGGAGCGCCGCCGTCCCCACTTGTGTCGGTAAGCTTGTGCCGATACGTGAAAGTATCAAAAAATGTGATGCAGCAATTGAACTACTATTTATTACCGGGACAAATAATGACGGTGGGGGCAATAGGTTCCTCTCCATTGCCTTCAAGGCCTTCGCCGATGTACTTGTTTAGATAACTGAATAGACTTGAGGCATTGTTCATGGTTCTACTTTCTGCACTCACCCACACACATTTAACCTTCACGTGTTGTACATGACACACGATTGAGTGAAAATGTCCTTTTCTTTTAAGGATTTCTCTTCATTGTTGTTTGCATTTGCTCCAGACGAGGAGCCTCCAAAGATCAAGTGTCCTCATGTGAAGGACAAGTGGGCAGAACCAGGCAAGCTCACGGCCAGGGTGACCTGGGACACGCCTGAAGGCATGGACACGGCCGACGGCATCCTTACAGAGTGCGTGCTCCCGTTTCGCCTTCTTCCCCTCTCTTCCTTCTGCTCAGTCCTCCCACCAAGACAGACGAGGGCATCACAGTGGCTCATCCAACCTCGGACTTGATCTTTTGCAGCGTAATCCTGAAAGGGAAAGCTCCCAAATCGGACTTCCCCGAAGGTCTTCACAAGATGTCCTACACTGTGCTGGATCGTGCGGGCAACCAAGGATCCTGTCGCTTCACTGTCAGAGTGCGAGGTTGGATATTGAAAAAGGAATAGAACTCTTTGATTTACCATGGGTGTCTGATGTTATTGTGATATATCCACATAAACAACAGCAAATCGGGATATTCTTGCATGTTTTAAAATGTAAAAGGTAATTTTCCACGACATCGCAGTGTTTAATTGGCACAGATATAAGTTAGTTAGGAGTAATTGCTGTAATTATATTTGTTTTACTGGCAATGGTGCCCCATTTGTTGGCAAGCACTTTTTGTTGCAAATCTCTTTAGGGATCCCCGAGCTGTGCCTCGCAGCCCCTCCAATGCATCAAGAACGTATAACGAGAACCGCTGCTGTATATGACATGACCATGTTGCCAATGACCACTGTCTGCTTCTCTAGTGCGACGCTGCACTCCACTGTCTCCCCCCGACAATGGCTACATGAAATGCGACAGCGACGGCGACAACTACGGCGCCACCTGTGAATTTACTTGCACGGGCGGCGCTGATCTGCAGGGCAGCGCTGCTCGAGTGTGCCAGTACGGACTCACCTGGTCCGGTAGCGACACCAACTGTGCACGTATGTATCACACCAATCTCGGTGGAGGACTAAACAACCTCTTTTCAATCAATTATTCACTGAAATGAATACCCTGGTCAGTGATTAATCTGAAATTAAAATTTCATTTTGACAAATACGGGTTTGAGGTAAAATATTGATATAAATTGGAATGACAAATGAAATGCAGTTTTCAAATCATATTTCCTGAAAGAATGCAAAATTGTACTTACAGGAATTAAGTCAATAAAAGCTGACTGGACCTCGGCAATGGTGGGCCTGACAGCCTTTCTGTTCACCCTATAAACTGCCCGTGATAACAGGATGGGCAGTAGCGAGGGGGAGGGGGGGGCAGTTCCTCTTTGGTATCTGTAAGCCAACATCCTGTCAGTATGGCATGGGTGGCACTTACAATTACGAAAGACCTGATAAAAAACTTACAGAAGAAATGGGCAATTTGGCATATTATCATCAATAATGAACCAGATTCAGCAAAATCTACAATAATAGTACATATAGAAATTAAAAAAAAAAAAAAAAAAAAGAATTTACTTATTCTGCAACCCAAAACTTCAATTTTGATGTGGGAGTTTCCCCATCTTGCCCTGCAATATGCAAAACCTTTTCTGCATGGTGGGGCTACCATTTCTCAAGACGTTTTGGTGTTTGGCCTCATTATACAAATCTAGAAAGTCATGTGAGATCAAAAATCGAGATGTACAAAATACCAATACACACAGACACATTATGGATAAAAATGCTCACCATGAAAAACATCTACAAGTTCTGGTAGCTGCCCCTTGTTGAATAATTGTCCATGGAGCCTGGGGGGG